GAAAATCCCATTCTGTTTTTAGTCTTCCATATCTTTCTAGAGTAAGCCTCTCTCATGTCCTTCACCTCTGCTACAGACCCCAGTGAACATCTACTTCCTCCCACTTCTAAGATCTTCGAACAAACATTATCTCCTCACATTTAAGAGACCCCTCCTTCCATGAAACAAGAATCCCTCCAGATACTCCTCTACCTGGCAAGACTCTCCACCCTATTTCTTTGTCTTCCATAAGCTCCGGATGATCCAATTAGAGATGGAAACCATTTTTATTCCTGCAAGGGAATCATGTCAGGTTTCCATCTACTCATACATCCCCTAATAACTTTGTTTTGACTCCCCTATCTCTGATTTCTCTTGATTGTCCAAAACAACGGTTTTTTGCATTTTGAGCTTCAACAAAACAGCACTCCCCCTCCAGATACTCGACCTCAATGTTGGTTTTGTCTTCCCTACGCGACTCACCTGCCTCGAGCTCCTTTCACTGGTTCTGTGAAACTCTTATCTCTCTTTGCTTCCAGGCTCATCCTCAGCTCTGTTCAACAGTTGAGACAACAAAGAAAGACCAGAGACATTTTGCAGCTTTCTTTTGACCTCTTCTCTATCTTTTTCCCAGTCAAATGGCTTGCCCTAACCTTCTCCAATTGCTCGCATTTTCTTCCCGCTACTTCAAACAGTGCAATCATCATCCTCCACCATTCACTGTCCCTTCCTTCTAGTATGAATATTCTCCTCACTGTCTCCCCCTTTTCCTCTGTTAATATTCTACAACTAAATCAATAAGAGAAAACACAAGAAAGATAACCAAAATTGTATCCGTAGCCCTTCCAGGTCCTGATGTTAAGCATGGGTATAACAGCCAACATATAGTGAAAGCTTTGCTCTCTCCTTTCAAGAATTTATCAAGAAAAAGGGAGAAAGTTTCATGCATGCAAAGGAATTTTCCTACAGAAGCTAAATATAATAGATAGAAAACAGGATCTGAAATCTGTATAAAGGTAATAAAACTTACATGCACAATTATTGAAGAAATGGACTCACATCTTTCTGTTTAACATGCAATAATGTTGTGCAATCAATAAAATTAAAAAGTGGAACCCAGGTTCATAAACCAAAGAATCCGTTGCCAATCTGTACACCTTGGCATACCTTTTTTCCCTTTTGGTGTCTGGTTTCAGAATGCAAAATGTCTAGGATTTTGATGAAAACTATTTATGTATGCATACCTTCCCATTTGAGAACTGCACAATCCTGCGGGATGTTGGCAGAAAATGAGATACCCGAGTCCCACTGCCAGATCCACCGTCTTCAAATTTTTGACCGTGACCATGGCTAAACTGTCTTTGCAAGGAAGAATGATTGTGGCTGTCACTGACTGATCTTTCTCTCACACAAAGAAGCATTCTACCTGGCAAAGAATTTTACCCTGATTTCAAAGCAACCCTTGTACAGGCTAAAGGATATTATAGGAGAAAAAGCACTTAAATGATAACATGGAGGGAAAAGCATATCCAAACAAGAGAATAAAAAATACATTGGCCAAAAGGCTAGCATGTCAAGAAAGGATCATATCTGCAGCACCACAACTAAGAAGATGAATATTGTTTTTGGGACAAAAACATGTATATGAACATGAATATAATGAAGAAATAAAGCAGAATTTGTTATCTTGCAATATGAACATGAATATAATGAGGAATATGCTTTTGTATCAGATTTCTATATGGGTCAGAATTTCTAATTTGTATAGTTTTTTTCATATTGAGTTGGTCAAAAAATCAAACATAAGTTCCCATGGGTAAGATTCACTTGTAAAAATTGATAGCTTCAGCCCAAAGGTTAAAAGCTATCCTTTTTATGGCAGTGTAATTGACCGAAAAATATGTATTTATAAGATTTTGTTGCAAAACTATAATTGAGAGGACTAAAAGATTTCCTGGATAATTTGCATCAGCATTTTCGTATTTTATTCATTAGATTTTGGGATATAATAATATTAATATGAGGTAGGAATGAACCACTTCACTTTGTGCATGTTTTCATCTGCTAATTTTACACAAATCCATATACAATTAGTAACAGAATTATGCTTGATGTGATTGTGACTCAATATGAAAACCAAGTGACAAAGAAAATAAGAGGACAAAGAAGACCGAGTGACGACATAAAAACCAAAACTTAATAGGTGCAAAATTGCCCATGCTTGAAGAGCCTCAACAGTCATAGTAGCTGCTAAAATATAAGAGATTGTCATGATGAAGGAGAAAGACTATTGATAAATATGAACTTTGGTTCAAAATTAAACTTTGTTAGAATTATCTGAATTCATAGTTGATTAGGGTTCCTCATAGAAATTTTTTATTTAGGCTATGTTTGGAACAAGTGAACTATTTTTAAAGAATTCATTTGGAAATTTACACTCATGTCATATTAGAGAGATAGATGATCAAAGTTCAATTAGAATATGACAAATATTAATTTGATGGAATTAAAATAACTAATTCCAAATTCAATGATACTGTGAATTTTCTAAAAGATCAGTTTCCATGCTCTGAATTATATTTTTACTATCTCCCCATTGTGTTAGGTGTGAATTTCTAAATAAATTTCACATGAAGTTCATCTCTTCCAAACTTAGCCTTCATGCTTACTTTCAACAGTAAAATTAGTTGTTTATAAATAAGATCAAATTGTTATTTCAAAAAAAAAAAAGATCGAATTGTGAACATTTAAGAATATTCTATCTCAAAAGACATAGGAGGTTTCAACTCAGAGGAGCCCTGATTTCAGGTAAGCATTTTCTCCTGTACCAGTGATATATTAGAATTCAGTGATACCCGACCCTACCTCAAAAACATTAAAAGAGACAAAAAAGCTCAAGAATGCAAAGAAAAAAGCTCAACAATGCTACAAGCAGATATAACAAATTGGAAAAGATGGAAGAACAGAGGGAGAAATCAGAGAAAAAAGTTAAGAGTAAAATGGGTACCAACGATATCGGTGCTAGAGACTCCTTCAGTGCGCTTGATCTGCTTGTAGCGGCCAGCCTTCTTGGCAAGCGCATAAGCATCGGTTCCATCAGGAAGAACGCAAGGATCATCTCCATGAAT